TATTTAAAGTCTTCAAATATGAGTAATATCGATTCACTTTTGAAGATTGACATATGAAAATTTTGTGCAGTATTTGGCATTTCACAATCTACACATCTTCCTTCTTCTTCCTCTGTTCGAAGATTAAAATTGTAAATAACGAGAACCAAACCCTCAACGGAGCTGATAACTATGAGTTAACGAGGCAAGACTCGCTACCAAGACACTAATAAAAGCATAAAGATAGAGACTTTTATTGGATTCTTGCTGTACCTTCACCTATATCTTATACCAACGAAAGAAGTGTTAGAACAGAACAAGACATGATGATGGGTAAATATTCAGGTTTTTCTTTCTCTCACGTAGATTCTTTCGATATAGCATTCCGGACCTCACTGCCAACTCTAGTGTCTGTAATCTTGTATGTTTATATACACATAGTGACAGGATAAAATCACTGGAGTGTGTCCAGTTGCATCATTTGTCTTAGTCCTAGGCTATCTTCTTGTACAATGAGAGGCTTTGGCATTCTTGAACAATCTTTTACTACCATGGCTTTTAAGCTGACCAAATATCGTTGTGTTCATGGTTATAATTTATAGTTGCTAGACTGACCAGTCACCAAGCCAACTGCAACCTGGAGTTTTGAGATCACTGCAATATCTCCTCTCTGTTTTACGCAGTAGAGCCGCTTGGTTCCAATGGCCTTCAGAGACGTAAGCGTTTGACAACAGAGTGTAGTTCACAGGTTTGCTAGGTTCAACTTCAAGAAGCTTCTTTGCACCCCATATCATGGATTCTCTCTTCTCGTGGATGTTACATGCTCTTGTGAAAGCTGCCAAAGCATCTGTGCGTTGTTCTACAGGCATTGACCTTAAAACATCAAAGGCCTCATCAATGAAACCAGCTCGACCAAGAAGATCGATCAGACAAGTGTAGTGTTCTTCCTCAGGTTCTATCTTGTAAACCTCAGTCATTAGTTTGAAGCAACGAAGACCTTCTTGAACTAATCCTCCATGGCTACAAGCAGACAGAACCTCTAAAAAAGTGATCTTGTCTGGGTGAAGTTTCTGCAGCATACTTTCAAACATCCTCAAGCTTTCTTCTGCGTATCCATGAAAAGCTAAAGCCCCGATTACTGAAGTCCATGTAACAAGATCGGGTCCTTGGGTCGAACGAAAACAGAGAAGTGCTTCAGATAAATTTCCAGTCTTGGAATAAGCATTTATCAGAGAATTAGCCACGGACAAGAAACTTGCATAGCCCTGTTTAGTAACAGAGGCTTGCATTTGCTTAATCTCCATAATCGCAGAGAATTTCGCGCATGAACATAAAACACTTGCAAAGGTAAGCTCATCCGGTTGAAGATTCCCGCGGAGCATTGAATCAAGGAGTCTCATAGCTTCTTTTCCTTCTCCATTTTGTCCATAACCCACAATCATTGCGTTCCAAGACACTACATTCCTCACAACCATCGATTCAAAACACTCGCGAGCATCTCTCATATGGTTACTCTTGGCATACATATTGACCAATGCAGTTGCTACTGGAATATCGGATTGAAATGATAGTTTGAAGACAATGGCGTGAATCTGCTTCCCTTGTTCGATCCTGCACCCACTGAGAAGACTCGAGAAAGTGAAACCATCACCTGCCAATCCTTTTTCGAATCCCATTAGCTTGAGTAAACCAAAGGCTTCGTCGATCATACCATTAAGAACATACGAAGAAACTAAAGCGTTCCATAGCACTAAATCTTTACCCAAAACCGTGTCGAAAACTCGTCTTGCTTCAACAATGTGACCACATTTCCCATAGAAATCAACGAGACTAGTACTCAAAATGCAGTTTGAATCAAGACCTCGTTTCACTATCAAACTGTGTAATTGCATACCAGCTTCTACATGGATCAAATCAGTGCAAAACCGTATCAGCCCAATGAAGGACACATGATCCAAACTCACCTCACTGAGAAGAATCCGCCTCAGACAACAAAAGCCTAGACGAGCTCTGTGATTGGTGTCACCGTCTCGTTGAATGACTCCATGAATCAATATGTTCCAAGTAACAATGTTTCTAACAGGAATTTCGTCGAATAGCTTGTCTGCATCATCAAATTCTCTGCTTTTCGTGTAAGCTTGCAAGAGCTTGTTTTTAAGAAACAGAGAATTGTAAGTCCCTCGTTTTACCATGAACCCATGATAATGTTTCACCTCAAAGAGATGAGATAACTTGGATGCAGAGGAAGTTGTTACTGGTGAAA